CTGATCTTCTTGTAAAGTGCGTCACGCAACCAATCACCCCAAGATACATCTTCAGGCATCATGTTGGAAACAATCTCCATCCACTTTTCATAGAACGTTTCAATGTTGGCATCACCTAGGTATCGTGATTGGATGATATGCTCCATGGTGAAGGCAGTCTCACGTTGACCTGGTGTCCTGAAATGTTCCAGAATCATGGCTAAGATTTCCCGTCCCATGACAAAGGTCGATCTGCGGTTGCTGGCGTGGGTCCTCAGTCTCAGCTTGATTGCAACATGTCGAGCTACATCACCGGCTTGTGAAATAACATTCGATAGTGCAATGGAAAGTTTTGCATCAATAGACTGATACCTCTGTCCACCGCTGTCGTTCAATGCATCGATGTCAGGGTTCTGCCTGAGTGCAGGTTGTAACCAAGCTTCCCAAGCGGCACGGTCGCCATCATTGGCTGCGAGGCAAACACTCTTAATAAGATCAGATTGCCAAACTCCCAGGTTTTGATGTTTCGGCCATGGACTGATGTTAACCTTGTCTGCTTCTCGTCGTGATATTCTTGGGGGTTCATCAGCAGTGAAAGCTGTAGTAGACTCAGCATCAATGACTGAATCTCTCTGCGATCCTCGAAGAGAAGGTAGGCCAGGTGGATTAGGAGGCCCAGGTGGTCCGTCAGGATCAGGCGGCCCATTGGGAAAGTCAGGATCATCACCACCGCTGGGCTTCTTATAGTCAGGGATACCTGCTCCTTCGGCAACACTTACACCTCTTCCATCTTGAATCCTCTTGTTGACTTCACGTAGTAGTTCAGATACTCTTTGATTCTCAGGATTAGATGGTCGTTGGTACATCTGCTCTGTACCTGTAGCAATGTTCGACTGAGCCGCCATGCATTCCCTGTTGAGCTCGTCGTCAAGCTGACGGATCCAAGCTCGGAGAATATTGGACTCGTCGTTTGCTGCTTCGACGTCACTCTCCAACTTCCCAATGATCATGTAAGGTGATACGCTACTGCCAGTCATACCTGCGGAGAAAGGAAGCATGTTGAGACTCTCTTGGTTCTTGAGTGCAGCGTCAGCTTCAATGAGACTCTTTCTCAACTTTGCTATTTCAGCATCTTTCAACATCAACTTTTCATCTTTCTCCCGTAGCTCACCTAGGTATTCACATGATCGCTCATATTGCTGTGCACCTGGTGCTAACTTCAACTTACGTTCACTTTCAAGTTCAGTCCTGAGGATAGCGACTTCAGATCCGAAGGGGGTCGTTGACCCATGCTTCGAAACTTCAGCCAGTTCATCCTTCAACCTGATATTGACACACATGCATTCATCCATCTCTTCAGAAAGATCTTGAGCTCTAACCTGTGCAACCTTGACCTCAGTTTCAAGATGTTGAATTGCAAAATGGTTAGAACCATGACCGATGGTCAATGGGTTCTCCTGAAGAGATCGTCTGAGTTTTACGTTTCGGTCCTCAATCTCGGTCTTGAGCTCGTCAGTCAAGGCACGTTCATTGCTGTAGAGCATCTCATAGTGCTCCATCTTGTCACGAGCACTCGTGCTAAGACTTGATTCCAACCTTAAATGGGCGATGGCTTCGGCCTCAGTATTCCTGTAATTGGCGAACCGTTTCACTGTATCATGCTCAGTGTTTCTATGGCGTAGATCACTCTCAAGTTTGGCTTGATTGGCTTCATTAATCTTCTTGCGATACTCTCTAGTGATCTGTTCCATATTGTTCTCATACAGTTCGGCTTGCTTACGGGAATGGACAAGTGCCTCACTCAATAACTGGTTTGCATCATTGAGCTCACCGACAGCAAATGCTTGGCGTTGACTTGTCATCTCCAGGTGTGTATGTGAGAAGTTTGCCAGTTCAGATCGATTACGATACTCCACTATGGAATTCTCAAGACTTCTCTGCATTTCAGTTCCTTCTTGGTACAAGGTCTCAGCTACATTTCTAGTAAGGTCACTGTCATATTGCATCTGTTGCAATCTTGATTCTGTGTTCCCTAATAGTCCTTGAAGGTGATGTACTTCATCCTTGTACTCTTCCTGGATCCTCACTCCACATTCATAGATTCGTCTGGCGCCATGTTCTGCTAATGCACCTCGACGTTCTAGGTCTTCGATGCGGATTGATGCACCTTCATCTTCCTTGGAGGCCAGCATCAACTCAGCTTGATACTCAGTTACCTCGTTAGTAGAATACACCAATCGTGCATTGAGGGCATTGATTTCATCAAATACTTGTTGATTGTGTCCACGAAGATATTCGGTGAACTTGATCTCAATGTCTCTAATGATTTGATCCCTTGAGGCAGCATGCATTTCAGATTGTGTCACTTTCTCTCTCAAAGAATGACATTGTTCTCTAAGCTCTTCAATGATAGCTATTGGATCACTGCTACCACGTGCTTCGGTTGTTCTTCTTTTGGCACTAATGTCACTCGACTCCCTACCATGTTGGTCCTCGACTGCCCTCGGGGTCCTATGTCTGGTAGGTGTTCTCCTGGGTGATCGGTGGTCTCTTCGTGCATTTCCACTTCGAGCCACGTCACGTGATGATCTTGGAGTACTGGTAGTTGATGCTCTTCGTTGTCTAGAGGTCATCTTCTGCCATCCAGATTTTGTTGTCTTTGTTGATTTATCCCCGCTTTCAGCTGTCCCTGGTGAAGAATGTGAAACTCCTTCAGCAGGGGCTGCGACGTTACCATCGAAGGTAAATTGCGTCTCTCCACTGTCGCCTTGCATCTTTGCGATGATTGTGCTGATCGGATTTCACGATCCTTTGCACAACGCTGGCTAACAGCACGCAGGTACTCCGCCCCCGATGGAGGATAAGAGCCCTTACGGCTGATAACCTGTGAATAGCTGAATCCCTATTCCGGATAATCAATGCAATGCTCGGAGTCTCTGTATGATGTCAGCACAGCGTTTCAACGTTTATGGCGCGAACAGCGGACAATTCTTTTTCCTTGCGGACGGGGGTCTTGAGCCAACATGGCGTTGGCGCAAATGTCCATTTGATTGTTCCCCTAGAACATCTATTATACACTATATGATGTTGGGGGTTTTACATAGCTCCCATTTGCATATATGTTCACACACACACATATATATATATATACAAACACGTATATACATGTATATATATATATTTACAAATATAGATAATATCAAGATAATATCATATATATATATTTACATGTATATATATAAATATTTACATATATTTATGTATATATACAAAAAATATACAGGTATACATATATACAGATATACACATATACATGTATATATGTATATCAAACCGGAAATGGTTGTGTTCAAACAGTATGACTTCCGAAACACAACGTCTGTTATTGAAACTACTGAGGAGCGGGCAAAATTGGAAAATTGGATTCCAGGCGGCGCTGCTCGGTGGGTGAGGCTAAGCTATGAGGCCATGAAAGGACGTCCGGATTTCAACTTTGGGAGTGGAATCTGCAATTTCTACCCTTTCGTTCCAACATCAGAGATTCTTTATCAGCATTCTCTTTTTCGGAGCTGGTTCACGATTGGGTTGTCTTTTCTGATCCCATCGTCAAGGCAGCCGGCAAATCAAACCATGAATTCCTGGTATTTGCAAAACAGGAAGGTTTAGGAAAGACGGGCGTATTGACACACTCCCATCAATGTAACTATCCGGCTATCTTGTCGATTTAGGCCTAGTCCAGACAAACATGCAAACTGCCATGATATTGCAGCGGGAGTGAAACGCTTGATCACCCAATGAACTCCAATTAAAAACCTGAACGCATTTTGGAATTGTTTTGGTGCAATCCTGGCGATCAAGAAATGAATTAGAACTGATGCTTCAGGATAAATGGAAGACCTGTGCATGGCATGAGCATGTCAGTGTTGAACAGAATCCAGCCACTAATGATGGCCAAAAAGGCAAACTTATGAAGCCACCGTTTCAGAGAAACCTCTACCTTCTGACAAAATCCTGCACTCAAACAATCTTGCTTTGCTGTTGTTTTCTCAGCCTTTGTGGTTTTTCCCCAAATGCCATGCTTAGAAGATCCTGCGAACCTCAATCTCACCGATTGATAGCGATGCCTGCCAGCATTTCTTGGGAGTCGAGTCCAAGGCTCATAGATTCTAACAAGAAACAAGATAGCAATAGGTGACCATCATGTCAAACACAAGATATTTGAGCCACTGTTTTCTTATGTCAATTCTTTTTGGGGGAACGTTGAAAATACTTCTCTTGCTTTGCAGGACCTTCTTCACTCTTCGAATCTGGCCATCTGAGAGAAACAAAAAGGAATCGATCGACAATACAATTTTCAGAAGATTGAAGGCCGAGACGGACCCTGCCTCCGATGCCCATTCGCCTAAACATTGCGACGAGGCACAGTTGTTTGCCCCCAGGGTAAAAAACCAAATTAAGAACATGCAAAGTTAGGTCATGTTAGGTATTCAAGTTGTGATGACAGGAAGTTTTCAGGCAGTGACAGGCTTCACTTTCCATCAACTTCTTTCCTTTTTTGTTCCCTCAGAAATTGTCACTCCAAGGAGAGCCTGGCACCACCCAACAAAGGCTGCCATCCCAAGTCCGAGGCCTCGGAGGCGAGACTCTAAGAGCGAGAGCAGGATGTCTGAAAGATTCAATATGATTCCAAATTTCAAAAGATTCCAAAATCAAAAAGTAGTTTAAACATATCAAACCCGATTCTTTGAAACTTCTTGCTGTTTTCAGTCTGCACAGAGGTCGACGAAATCTCCTGTCTTGCAGCAATTGTTGTTGAAGCTGGCTTCCCCAACCGCATCTTCCGAGTAGGCACTCTTCAGCATCTCTTTCCTGTAGCATGCACTCACAGCAACACCAAAAACAAAAACAAAAACAAATGGAAATCCAATACTTGTTGCAACCAGTGAACATATTCGAACATATTCCAACATAGTCATGACTATCAAATAGCAAAGCCCCCTGCCCGACACAGAAAAGCGCATTCAGTGTAAGGATGAAACTATGAGATTTAGATACTCTACGGGGGCAAGACCAAAGGCTGTGAGACACAAAGCGCTTCGTTTGAGCCTCTCTGGCCGATCTAAAGCTTTCAGAAACGCTTGTAGTTTCTCGAAATACTCTTGCCTGTCCGGACTGTGGGGACTGTGCCGATGCACAACAGAGTTGGGATGCAAACCACGACGCCAGCAGTTCTTCCAAACTCTTGCTTTGAAAGCAGCTCTCGATAAAAACACTTCAACGTCAGTCGTTTAAGAGTTATAACAGGATCCAGAATAGGAATTCCTCGAGCCTCAATAGTGATAAAGTTAAGAGTTTGTGGTGCCTGTGGGTCATCTCAATGTCGTTGTGCCCTGCTTCTTGGACCCACCAAGGATCGTAGGCGATATCTTCAGGACAAGCCTCAACGAACAAGCCGTGAACAAGTCGTGAACAAGTCGTGAACAAGTCGTGAACACAGTGTGAAGCTGTACGTCATTGTGCCGAGTTTCATCCCACAGCGCAGTTCCATGCTCAAATGGAATCTGGCATTCGGCAGCTCAGCTTCAGAACTACCCAGTCTAAAGTCTTCGCCATACAGAAACAAGCTACAACAATGAAGATCCCCATTCATAAATGTCAATCATGTCAAATGCGATTGGAAATCACAGATTATAAAATTCTGACAAAGCTTCGTTGCAAAGGGCCACTGGATTTGCTTTTCCGATGGGCTCGCGATGTGCGAAGTAGTAGTCAAGAGTCAAAAGGATTCAACAAAGTCTGTCTCTGGAAGTGCTCAACACCATCCCCCAAAAAATGAGGGAAAACCAAATTTGCGACACTTGCTTTGTCTAACAGAGTGTATTACAAAGGTTAATAGCTCTTTGTGTTTTTTCCTTGCAAATTTCGCTTCCAAAGTGCCTCAGCATCATGGGTGCCGTGGATAATGAACACCGGTGACCTCAGAGTCCAAGCCGAAACTCTGGCTGTGTGCTGTGACGTGCTGTGACGTGCTGTGACACTGACACAACTGACGAACCGACGAAACTGCTTCGACAGAAATCGACAGAAACTATTCAATCAAGTTCAATCTATTCAGGCATTGAAACTGAGGATCTGACGTGACCTTTTTGATCCGTGTGGCGTTCTGAAAGACATCAAACCAGTAGGTGGTCTGCAGCACGTCAAACTCTGGTACTTGAGATGAGTGTCTCGAAGGCATATGACGTTCCAAAAAGGTTCGTTAGGTCACGTTGAATCATGGCTGCATGCCTGTATTTGGTGATTTCTGCAGTGCCAAAAGTTTCAAAGGCTTCTGAATGTTTCCAAGGAATTTGGGCAAAATTGAGACTTCTGATGAATTCTGGCAAACCGGGCGCAGGCACCTTGACATTGTGGATCACACTAAGGCCACTCTTCATGGCACTGGCGGGTGGTGGATCTGCTCCATCAATCTATCAGACCTAAATCTGATCTAAATCACATCATCATCATCATATCTCCATCATGTGCTCAACATCGTTTCTAGTTTGACTTCCAAAGGAGCGGACATCAGATAAAATGTCATGCAAACTCTTTGAGAGCCCAGGCCATTGATGTGATTCAGAAAGGTAAGGAAACACTAGGAAACACTAGGAAACACCTCAAAACTGGCGTTTCAACCCACAGCCCTGCGCCTATGCAAAATAAGACCACCCACAGATACCCGCGAGGCAAGCTCGACCTAAATGGGAGGATGTGGAGGGCGGACTCGATATGCATCCAGTCTTAGGCGTAGCAAACGCAGCCTCGCCTACATAACCCTGCCTGCACTAAATGCCTACACACTTGTAGTGGCCAGAACGAACTGGATTGAATCTCGTCGGTGCTGGCAACACTTGTTTCAAATTACATGTGCAGAAGTCTGCCTGCATGTCGGAAGGTCAATATCTCAGGATGGAAATTGCATCATAAGCAAGCAACATGCAGAAATCTGAACATCAATCCGCCGACCCCTGCCTAGCCTTAGTTTGGGCGGGGCGCGCCTGGGATCACCGCAAGTGTGCAACCTTGCAACTGGCTCCTTTGTCTCTTGCCAACTTTGTCAAGCCAGAGGCCTCGCTGCAGCTTCTAAAGCTCCAAATTGCCAGGTCCTATTTCCACTTCGAATTCTTTGGTTCTACCAGGGCCGACCTGCCCAACTCTGCAGCTGCTCCAACCAGGGCCCAACCTGTCAACCTTGCAAGTTGGCTCAGGTTCTCAACCTTGCAAGTTGGCCCATGTTCTTCTTATTTAAAGGTTCCGGACCTGCTGGTTGGCACTTTTGGTTCTACAGGGGCCAACTGCCAAGGTTGAAGTTGCCCCGCGCAAGCCTTCAAGTAGGCTTAGGTCCTTCTTTTTTTCAAGGTTCCGGGCAGATTGCCAAGGATGAATGAAGTTGCCCCTACGCAAGGCCTCAAGTAGCCAGGTTCTTCCCCCTTAGAAGTTCCGGACCTTCTGGTTGGCACTTTGCTTGAAGTTGTCCTACGCAAGGCCTCAAGTAGGGCCAGGTTCTTCTCTTTTAAAGGTTTCGGACCTGCTGGTTGGCACTTTTGGTTCTACAGGGGCCAAGGCTGAAGTTGCCCCTACGCAAGGCCTAAAGTAGGCGGGATTTTATCATTTTCTCGCGCACCCTATAAGAAGACACAACCAAATAGCCTCCGGCAATCAAACATAGCAATTTGAAACCGCCTACAAATGTGATTCCCCACCTGCCAGGTGAGGGTTGTTAGATTTTATCAGAGCTGTTCTCCTCCTCCTCCTCCGCCTCCTCTGCCTCCTCCGCCTCCTCACCCGCCGCCTCCTCCTCGCAGTCCAGATCCCAGTGGGCACAGCCGGACCTCCACCGCGAGCTCCAGATCCCAGTGGGCACTGCCGGACCTTAACCGCGAGTTGCAGATCGCAGTGGGCACTGCCGGACCACAACCGCGACTTCCAGGTCGCAGTGGGCACTGCCAGACCTCAACCGCGACTTCCAGATCGCAGTGGGCACTGCCGGACCTCAACCGCGACTTCCAGATCGCAGTGGGCACTGCCGGACCTCAACGGGAAGAATGTCAGAAAAGGTGTCAGATAGAATGTCAGAAGATATGCCAGATAGAATGCCAGAAAGAATGTCATAAAGAATGTCAGAAGATATGCCAGACAGAATGTCAGAATATATGCCAGAAAGAATGTCAGAAGATATGCCAGATAGAATGCCAGAAAGAATGTCATAAAGAATGTCAGAAGATTTGCCAGATAGAATGCCAGAAGATATGCCAGATAGAATGCCAGAAGATATGTCAGAATATATGCCAGAAGATTTGCCAGATAGAATGCCAGAAAGAATGCCAGAAGATTTGCCAGATAGAATGCCAGAAGATATGCCAGATAGAATGCCAAAAGATTTGCCAGATAGAATGCCAGAAGATATGCCAGATAGAATGCCAGAAGATTTGCCAGATAGAATGCCAGAAGATATGCCAGAAGATATGTCAGATAGAATGCCAGAAGATTTGCGAGTAACAAAATGTATGGGATCACACGAAGTAAAGTAATTTTTATTGGGAAAACCATCTATGAATAGGAATTGTCCATTGCCATGTTTGATTACCAGAAGGTATCTTTATTCCCACCACATGTTTCTTAAAACCCAATGGTCTTGGGGGCTTGACTAATCCCCAACCAAGTTGGAGGGGATCAAGAAATCCTGCTTTCAGCAGTTTTCCTCAAAAGGAACTGAATTCTCGAAGTCAATGGATGGGTTTAGGAGAAAATCCACAGGATACCATGACTTATATTATACTTATATTATCAAATATAGGGGTTTCTGTTTTCAACTTTTCCCATCATCCAATTCTGCGAGTTGTACTTCAAACTTTCAACGGGTTGGTTTCTTTACACCATGAATAGGTGTGGGGATTCCAGAAACTCTCCTGCCACCAACCAGTTCTACGAATTCTGTTTTGGTATGCACAACAGCCCTTTCCAAACATGGACCCACACTTTGACTTTCAATCTTGAACATCAATGTAGGTCATTTCCCATAACCGGGTCTGCGCAGTGGGAAACAAATCAACTCAAGTTGTAACTGTGTAGATCATTATTGCCACTTTTGTATAGCCTGCATTTGTTCATTTAAAGTTGCTCTTGTGAACATCACAATTTGACCATAGCATACGATAGCAAAAGGTTATGGACCAAAATCCCTATCCAAGGTTGACCCAGCATTGGGGATCTTCACCCCTAATCCCAAGTTGCATAGTCCAAAATCCAATATTTTACAAAGACCCGTACTTTCCAAAGAGATCTGTAACTTTTTCAGAACTCGGGTCTGACATGGTCTGACCTATTTCTGCAGGTCGTTTGGGTTCTAGGTATTTATATATGCCGCATTCCTTCCTTCCCCCTTGAAAGGGGGTCGGCGGCACCAGGGCGTTAGCCCTTTTTTATATCCAACTTGCATTTTGCCAGCCTCTAGTGAGATCCAAAGAACATCCACAAAGAGACTGACAGGTATGTGTCACGACCTATACACTATACACACTGAAGCCTCCAAACTCCTATGCCGAGTAGCTGATGGTACGCTGCCAATGGATTGGCCATAGCAAACAATCTGGTGCCAAGTGAGAGCACATTTTGTTACAATAGTCATAAACTGAGCATCCAAATGCAAGATATGCAAGCCTATGCAAGCACACTCCACATATTGTTCCGGATAGCTTCTAAATTCACAAGTCTGACAGCATAGAGAATAACTAGTACATGACTTGGAGTGTACTGTCATACTGAATCATTGCCAATCTGCTTGATCTTTATACTGTCGAATGTCGTGGAAGGTTACTGTGAGATGCCGATTCAAATCGTCCTGAATCGTCCTGGCCATGGTGCAGTGGCCGCGCCGGCGGTGCAGTGGCGCCTGGTCATCTGCTAAGCTGCAATCGTTCGACAGATAGTGATACCTGACAAAAGTCCACGACAAAACTCAAGACTGAACATGACTGAACATCTTTGAAAACATAGTCAAAAGTAGTCAAAAACCTCTGAACTCCACAAATGTGTAACGTCCCACTACCGGGAGGCATGCGGAAGAACTGCGCACTTTAGGAAGCCTTTCTCAATTGCAGGAAAGAACACATTAGCATTTGATGAATATGATCAATGACTTCGAATGGGCTGTGTGCACCAGTGTTACCATGGGTTTCGGAACAGAAAAGCAATCATGCTTTAACTAATTTTAACTATCTTTTACTGTGGGAATAGCAGGAACGCCAGCTGGGCTTTGGAACGCTGCTTCGATGTCGGCATAAATGTCCGCCTGTGTGGCATGAACCCATCCAAATGTCACTTCGAAGGAAGTCAAAGAAAACATAGGAAACTAATGGAAACTATCTGTTCCGGAAAATCGATCTTCACCAAAAGGAAAGATTCAACCATGCAGTCCTGTTCAATCCTGAATGCCAAACACACTCAAAAACACCGTAAACAGGTTTGAATTGAAACTGAGCGAAGCATCTGCAATCTCAAAGGACAAACAATGTACACTTTTCAACGTTGGAATAAACTCTACAGGACGATAACACGTTGGAATTCTGCGAATCAGATCGTCAAGTGGCACTTCTTGACGCGACCCTTCCAAACATCAGATGAATTCTGTGGGTATTTAAGCCTGAGTTTTTTTGTCAAGTCCTACAAGGCCTCAGTGGGAACACCGGTGCTCTCACCATAGCCGCTGTATTCGTATGCCTTGTGAGCACATTCCGATTTTGAGCACTTGAGAATCAAGGCAAGGGGAGCTATTGCAAACTATTGCAGCTCACTGGAAGTATCAAAAACAGAAAGCAAAAAAACAGGTTGCAATCATTTGCAACCAATCTGATCAAAGACCTACCCCGTCTTTTTCTCCGTGTCAACACTGTTGCACATGGCATGTCCAAAACAATACTGTCCTTCCAGGTTTTGGGTATCGATCACAATGATATTTTCCTCTTGCCCTGACGCGCCAATCTATACCCTCCCACCAGTACCTGTAACAAAACCCCCGCAATTTGACTTCTGAGTGTCACACAAACACGTCACAATGCAGCATTGAGCAAAGTTCCCTGGTCAGGAACTGGCTCTACATGAACATGAACTGTGAGCAAGCCAAACACATCAAACACTCGGCATTCTGTGGGAAGGATAGATCATATGATTTCATATGATTCATTTGCCGTGCTTCATGTGGGACAAAAGTCCATCCGTCAAGCTGAGTGTCCAGGATCTATGATCGTGATCTCATGTCTCACACCCAAGTCTGCACAGCAGCTGAACTGGCCACAGGTGGCCACAGGTTTCGTGTTCGGAACTTACATTTTTTGACCGACACCAAACTCAGCTACCGAATGATTAAACCGACAGTTCATCCCCACGATTGGCGTCCAGATGAGAATATAAGGCCGTGAGATCAGTGAGATCACAGCAAACTTGATCAATGCACTCTTTCCAAATTTATCGGTCAACCCCCTGTCACCGTGGAGCTGCATTCCCTGCATTCCGGCCTAAGATGATGGAACATGATGCCGATATCGGTGCTGTTTCCGTGGCTGAACAAAAGCGTCCTAGCCAATGAGGCTCAATTAGGATCACTGGAAACGCTTTGGCTGAGGTCTTCATATATCTTGATATCCTGCAATCAAAATAAAAGGAGAAACTCTCAAATTGAGTTCCTACTTAAAATCAAGGCGATCAGAACAAGTTTCGTGTTTTTCCTTTCTGAGTCCAATGTCGCTGTAACTGTATGTCGCTGTGATGAAATTCTGATTGTATCAGTATCCTTCAACAGCTTCAATTTCCCTCACCGAACCCCAATCTGGTCCGGTTGGAGTCAGCGCGCTTGAAATGAAAACCGAGGATCACATTACCTGCGCTGACACAAATTGACGCTTCCTACATTCATCGAGTGATGCAGGAAGGATGGATGTAAATGACTGCAGATATACAACGATAATGCAGAAGGAAAACATGATGAACCAACGGCAGGCTTATAATGTTGAGCCACGCACAAATTTGCCCCCCAAAAGTTGGTCTTTTGATTCTTTTGGTCGTTAGAGCAAGTCTCTTCAACAAAAAATAAATCACCCAGGTTTCAGCTGCAAGATACGACCGCAACCAGCAAAGCAAACGAGTCCAAGAGCTGCAACAGCTTAGTCCACACGATGAGTGCAGGTTTTGGGGATTTTTGATCTCTTTCTCAAGTCCGTGTGTCGCATACAAGTACCTTTCGTTCGAGATGACAAAGAAAAGAAAAGATCTATGAAAAGAAAATCCGAGAAACACCCTGCATATCCCTGCATTTCGGCTGGAAACTGAAGGTGGGGAGATTACCCAAAGTGACCCATTTGCCGTCCTCTCCGCGTCCACATGCGCACCGTGTCCACCACAATGCCCTGCCGCAGTCGCTTGAAGGTGCGTGACATCGAGACTCAGCTGAAAGCAAAAAAGGCATAGCAAAAGGAAAACAGAAGATCAAAAATGCAGGCATAGCAAAGGCATAGCAAAGGCAATGGCTCAGTGTGCCTCAGAAGCCAAGTCGGGCAACGGTGCGAGGCCATAGTCCAATTCCACCAGGAACACCTGCCCAAAAGATCCGAAAAGATCGAGGGAGATCTTTGCCAGGGCACAAACTTTGAAAATCTGATTCCCAAGTTTGGGTCAAGATATGTGAGGTATATTGAAGAAACACTGCAATATCAAAAACAATCAATTTCTGGTTACCACCTACAAGTAGAAACAGTTCTTGAAAAGAGAAGCTTGAGAAAGTTCGTTGGTTCTATATTTTCGGAGCAACACTGTCGAAAGTGCACGACGAGGCTGCTACATTACATTCAAGTTGCTATCACAATATCAGAGTCCCATGTAGTCAAACACAGCTGAAAATCTGGTCCAACGATGCTCAGCATAATCCTTTGCACTACTTTGCACAGTGAAAAAGTAAAGCGCCAAAGCGCTCCACCTGTCTGTCCTCCGTGACGTGGTAGCCAGGGGGTCGCGGTGGGAAAAATGCGACCTACGGCGAAACAAAATTTACCCCAAAGAGCCGAAGAATATCCAAGTCGAGTCCGGCTGCAAAATACTTTTGAGACCTTCTTGTTTGGCAATAAACTGATCTTTACTTAACACAAGTTGTCGTGTTTCCGTGTGGATTCAAACTGCCTCTGAACATGGGAAATTTCATCCCTGAGATCCCACAGTCTCCAAACTTTCCAAACTTACGCCACTGAGTATGATCAATGTTGAGACATGTTGAAACATGTTGAAACTGAATTGATCATCTTTGGATATTGCGACTTTGACCTAGCAAAGAGAGTATCATGGCTTTGGATGGCTTTTGGCATCTGCCCAGATCTGCCCAGATCTGTGGGTGGAAAAAGCTGGGTGCCCATGCGTTGTTCACCACTCTGCGAAGGAAGCCCGGCACCAAGGACAGGCAGCCCAGGCAGCAAACCTGCGTGGGAGAACTGTGGTGTCTCTTGTGAAACTGATAAATTGTTTGAAATGATATGGTCATGATAAAACATGGTCTCTACACCCATAAAATCCAATACATAACGCCAAAGCGCTATTTCCGCTCTGAGAATCATCTTCGAAATGCATTTTGTTTCATTTTGTCCCTTCCGGATCCTTCCGGTAATTGGCTTTCAGGTGACCCTGAAACTGCGAAACAGTAGCGAACACTTTTGTACCCGCAGGAGAGGGCTGGCACAAGAGTGCCTAACTGTCGACGTTTGCAAGGGACTTTGAGTCGGAGTGTGTCGGAGTGTGCTTTTGGATCTTGAGGTCAACCATCATGGTCAATGGATGAACTTGGTGGTTGTCAATGGATGAACTTGGTGGTTGACACCAGGAATTTTCAAGCATAACACATGTGGAAATGGTCGAACTGCCGGTATCAATACTCCATGCAGTGAAAAATGAACTCGAAAACTCCCCGGCTACTAATGGCTACTAGCTACTTAGCAGCTGTGGCGATGCAAGAACTCGTACGCTACCAGGGCCGCTGGTTTCGTGCCGAAATCAGCGGTGGCAAGGAGGAAATCTGCTTCTGATACCAAGGATCTTCTTTCCAGGACTCCTGGGCCACGGTATCTTGGGCTCCGAGTTGCATCCAAATTATCCAATCTAAGACTTGAAGAACCTGCAAATGAAAGTCATTGATGCACAGCAAGCACATATTGCATGGAAAGTCACTCAACATCTCGATGGTGCTGAAACACTTGCTTTTACCACATGCAACCAGTATAAGCTTTCTTCCTCACAACAATCATGACACCTGATATTCACTGGAGTGGTGCTGTTCTACGATCAAATGTCACCATGTGTCACACCGTGTCCCACTATGCTGTGTACACTGGATACCCTCAACATGGCAGAAGCCACATCGCAAAAAACACATGGCAGAAGTCTTTTGAATCGCTTCGCCTCCTTCCAGCCGAGTACACTTCCGGAAAAGTCATCCAAATAGCTGACCTCGATCGCAGAACATTTTATGTGGACCACATGTGGACCACATCTCACTGGCGAGTGCGAAGTGCCGGTGAAGTGCGATGAATTTGTCAAGAGTCAATTGCTTCCCGAGGCAAAGCGTCTTGATCTTTCACCAGCAGCTTCAAACCTGGTGGTACCACAAAGCACACACACACAGGTGGCCTTGCCCTCAACCACTACAAAAAATCGCATTACATTTTCTCTGCCAAAAACCTGAGTACCACTCAATTTTTTTTACGCAGCATTCTTGCCTTCCTTTCTATCATGCTCATACTGTTCTGTATTCTTTTTGTGATATGCCTTTCCAAGCCAATGATCCATAGATGCTATTTGCATGCCATTGAGGCCATTGTAGGGGGAGAAACAATATGAAACAATATGAAACATGAGAAAACAATTGTTTTTGAGCAAGAGCTGAGCTGACGCCCTGACCTCCACAAGGCTTATGTTGATCGCCTCAGTGCTAGCCGAATTCGAGCTGCCGAGCAGTGCGTGAAATTGAGATTCTTTGACGAACAATGTCAGATGTACACAGATGTACACAGATTGCCACTTGGAAAGGACAACGAGCCAAACACCCAGGGAAGCCTCACATCCTTAAGTCGAGCGTCTCAGTGGAGGCTGCACATAATCAAAATCTAAACCTCAGATTCAGGAGACATGAGACGTGTCAGAAGCTGAAGGTATGTCCAAACAAATATCTGTTAGAACAGCTGGGATTTTCACCGGTTTGGAAATGCATCACCAAAGCAAGCGACAAAATCTGTTGGCTGCTGGCAGGAACTTGCTTTGACATCGTTTGGTAGCCACAAGAAACCACGAATTACGAAGCAAAGCCAGAAGAGTTGAGATCAGTGCATTTTGTGCTCAGTGTCAAGAGACATCTAAAACCCAGGGATGCCAAGACTTCTTGTCTTTCATGAGGATCCATAATTCCATCCTCCACATCCTTTGCAGCGCCATCTTCACAAGAGCTGGACAGCCCAAATATCCAAAAGTCTCAAAAAGTCTCAAACAACAAAAGTACTTGATGGATTTTCTCATGAGTTTCTCATGATCTTCTTGTATCTCTGCTAGTCTCTACTTGTCTCGATCCTGGTTCTCCCAGATTTCTCCAAAAAATCAGGGTCATCGCTTCCTATTGGCTAATGTGCTGCCAAAACTCGGAAGCATGTGTCTCCGCAAAAATCGCAGCCTGAGATACACGGAGTGCAAAGACTGAACTAAAGAGTTGCTGACATCTGATTTTCCGATCGCAAGGAATGGACTGACTGGATCACCTGGATCATGAATGATCTTGACAGATCTGCATCAAACTAGTGATCTTTCTGCCATGACGCCAGTGGTTTTGCTGCTCGCTCTTCCATTTGCTTCTGCAAAGTGGACATCAAGAGCTTGGAGACACCGCGACGGCGGAAAGGCTCCGCCACGCAAATGTAGCCTGGGCAAGGGATAAACAGAATGTAGCCACGGCAGCCACCTATTTTTCACGGAACCTGAGCACCCAACATGCAGGCGATGATTTGGGGAAGACACATGCCATTTCTCTCAGAATTGTCCACAACCTTTCTTAAAAGAACTACATATTTTTCTCCCGACTGGGCCCCTTTCTGCAAGCAAGGGGCTAATGAGGCAGTGATTACCTCGCGGGTAGTACCTGAAATCTCAGGACCCGATTTTTGTGCTCCAAACATCGAAGAGATTTGGGCCAGTTCGTCTCATATGTTGTAGCTACGCCAATAAAGTCTCAGCACAAGCCTGGGTTGTTTACCTTTAGAATCCACTTGAAAAATCCTGGGATCTTGACCATCTTGACCTTTTCACACCTGTGACTCGGAACCTTGCGAGTCACCAGTGCACCCCAAAAAAAATCGAAATAGATCATCATTGTAGATCAATTCCAGCACTCCAATGCAACGTCTGTACGGTAAGATATCTACTGTGGTTCCCCAGTCACACTCGCTGCCCGAATATGCCCAAATACTCATAGGATGCGCAGCCCATAAGATTCTCCATGGGCTCAGCAGTTTCACTCAGCAGCAACACATGCAGCTCCTGAGCGTTCTGGATATAAAGGGGATGGAAAGTGGATGGATGGATCTTTTTGCTGCATCCAATAGGCCCAAGGTGCCATGGTTGCCATGCATCACAACAACTCACCTCTCCAAAAAAGTTCTCTATCTTTGAAACTTCCGCCACCGCCTTGTGCGGTACTACCGGTATTCATAATATTTATAGTATTCACATAGTATTCACATAGTATTCACCAACCAACGTTTGAACCAAGCTTCGGGATTCAATCCATCGGAAGGCTGTTGAAGTGCATCCTGCAATGTCTCCAGGTCCTGAGGAGTGGCACTGTGTACCGAGAGCCTGGTCTTCATGAAATTTCATGAACATAAAAATGATATAAAAATATATATATCATATAAAACGCATTTAGTCACGTATTCAAACCTGACCTGAGAGAATTTTAGCTTTGAAGTTTCTGGATTCACTTGGAATTCGGTCAAACACGCCTCAACAAAAATTGTCAATCCTCCAAAGTTTTGGAATTCAATTAGAAACAGCCGTGAACCATCTAGCATCTCTTGCTTGGCTCTGCGGGTATTTACGATGGTGGCTATTCAGCGTCAAACTTGGTTTAGATTTGGTTACTGAATTCTGGGGACTCGATTCATAAACTTCAAATAACTTCAAGCTGCACTGGAAAAACTCGATGTTACACTGTCAAGACATGGCCTATGCGGCTGGGTCTGATGGCCTGATGTCTGCCGAAACGGGCCAAATGGGTCATGGGTTTTCCGATGTTTTCCGAGATTCATCCAACTCGCCGGGCACTGGAAAGTGGACCTTGAGTAAACGATCCTGGGCTGAAAGGAATGAGTGCAAACAGTGCAAACAGTGCAAACATTCACCAAATGACTCAACACTACCTTATCAATCCAATCAATCTACAATCAATCTCCAATCCAATAATTGCTTCAACTGTCTACAAAGATCTTCAAAAGCAAATAGGCCAGGCCACATAGACTGCCTGAAGCAGATCCATTCTTTGACATTCTCGCAAGTCGATGAGTCGCGCAGGTCGCGCATCATGTCCATTCATGGGAGGCGGACACGGCCGTGAAAATCTCCTACGAATCTATACGAATCTATATACTGTATATATCTATATCATAATATGAATCGGGGATTCTTAGAATTCTTGTGCAATTCGATCACGTGGAATCTGGAGCTCAGCAGCTATCATGTGGACTTCAGATTATGGCGACTTCAGGCTGTCGATAATGTTCATACTTGCTAGTTCTGATAATAATCTGATAATACTATCAGCTAGTCTTTTAAGATCTTTAAGTCGTCTGGTGAAGTCATGAAGAGTGCGCTTGGGAGTTTCTGCTTCATTCAATTCATCAGAGATCTGCTCAAGGGATGTCAACTGCAATATGTTTTCACCCTCAGTAACTGTTTTGAAAACAATTGGAAAACCTACTCCAGAACTCACATTGTTGAAAGGATGATCCAAAGGATCGTAGCAAAATCGCGGCCATGTATGCCAGTCTTCAACATGGTCATGGCTCCTTGTGTTACCTCTTACCGGATCAACTTTGAGAGATCTTCCATCTTTGAGTTTCTTGCGCCTAAACCAAAAGGAACTTTGGCGGGATATTACATGCTCAACATCACTGCGGACCTGTTACTACCTTTATCAAGTCAAACATATCTCACACATCTGCGTCCCTGCGGGTGTGGTACGAAGCCGTCGCAGTTGGAGATCGCGGTACAACACGAGGACATGTGACGAGCGACCTGGCTTTCAAGCCAGGGGGAAGCCGTCAGCGAAAAGGCGAATGAGATCTAAAGATAATCCAATGAGTTTTTCTGGGACGTTTCAAAAACCCTTGCTGGAAGTGTGAAAACAACAGGTTGTCTTGACAGGGTGCCTACTGCCCGCTCACGGCCAACCGCACTGCAGCCACACAGTGCATCGGATAAAACAAAGCTACGCTTGAGCCACAGCGATGGGCAAAAAACATGCTGGCCTTTGGCTCCTGAAGGTTACCGAGTCATAGTGACTTACACGGGAAAAAACGACAGAAAATGGGCAATCAGCACGGTTCTCCACACTGGAAGAGACCGTGTGGTGTGACTCCCTGTGACTGTTGTCTCTGGTGATCTCTGGTGATCTCTGGTGATTCCTAATTGCTGCGGGACGACCCCAATCGCCGGATATACGTTTTATCATGTTTTATCCACGTCGCCTTGCGCATTCGGCCACATCTTAGATGTGGATTCGGTGAAACTGGCGCGACGGTCACCACGGATCACAGAGCACACGGCATCCTCACATCAAATTCCACATGACTTTGGGGTTGGGCCATGTTGGGCCATATGGAAGCAACATTGACAGTCTCAAATCCATCCACAAAGAGGGACCAATCTTCGCTTGACCTGGAAATGACATGAACAGTTTGAACACATTGGGTCTATGTCTTTTTATGTTTTCTTGTGTCTTCTTGTCTCTGCAACCGCCATTCCATCTTTTAATAACTTTTAATAACCTTAATATTTCATCTGTTCAATATCGTTCAATCCATGCCGTTGCTTGAAAAACCATCAAGGTTTGGGGCCGAGCTTGGCCGAGCTTAGGCATGTTGACATGTCGATTGAGGGGTTAAGGCGGTTAAGGCGGTTAAGGCGGTTAAGGATTTGAGGATTCATAGTTAGGTTGTTCCATTTATTCATAGGCCTATAGGCTAGGCCTATAAATGATTATAGACAGATGTATTTGTCTACTACCACAGTTGCACATTGGCTGCCTGGGGTGACTGGGGTTGAACTTGCTGGCTGATTCACAATTTCAAGCGTCATTGTGGGCTATTGACATGCAAGATTGGATAAAACATGACAAAACGAATAGAGCAAAACTCAATAGAGAGAAAATTGTGACCTGAAGCAATCCGGAAGTCGAACCATTGCATGTTGTTGAGTTCACATCGCAAAGGCCTTTTCATTCTCCGAAACATGGTAATATTTCAAATGGATTTCGTCGATTCCCACAATCCCTAGTTCCAAATCAATTTCTGAAGGTTCTTATCAACTCAGCAGTTAGCTCAAATGAAGCACGCTAATTCGGATGGTTTTCTTTCTGAAGCAGGTCTTCCAAACCAGGGTTGCACCCCAAAATGTGAAGCCAAGAGACAGAAATCGTCCAAAATACCTGGCTGAGATGATCTAATCATCTGGCAAGGGGGAAGATAGGGTTGGCAGTAGTAACTTTTTCAAAAAACGATTCAATCATCGAATCGTTTCGGGTCTCAAAGTGCTGCAAACGCAACTACTCAGAAAGACTCTCTCTCTCTCTCTCTGATGTGACTGATCAGTACTGATCCATGTTTCATGACCTCTGATGACATCTCATGACCGACGCCCTTGGACCGGATGGCGCCTTTGCTTCGTTCTCGTTCTTTGCCCTCTTCCCACTGTGGCATGAGCCGCGGCTCCTGCACGGGAACCCGCCAAAATGCTGCGGAGGGTGGTCTTGTCACATCTGACTGAACATCTAGTGCAACATGGTGCAACATGGTACAACATAGTGCAACAAGTCCAAGAAATGCAGCTCCTGTTCTATCTCATGTCCCGTCATCAATGCTTTGCAATGAGTCAGGATTTCCCGTAATTCCAAGTATCATGCTCAATGTGATGGCAATTCGTCCCATCTGGCATCATCTGGCATCATCCCCAGCTATCACAGAGGGTCAAAAACCATCACCCGCAAAGGGGCTATTTTCAAACCGCAAGAACAGCTGATTGAATCAACTGCAGAATGTGTTTCAGTCTTTCTGTAGCCAATGAATCTAAATTCGTGGCAAACGCATATTCTCTACATCTTCTCTACATATTCTCTGGCATCCCGGGGTCAGGCGATACGAAACGCGCCTTGGACAAAGCCATCTTCATCAAAATCTCTTTCCGCTGGGCGGCGAAGGCGGTGTCCTCCGGCTCCTGGACGGCAACGTGAGAGATGTGAAAGGGACACGGAGAATGCTGGCAACGGTGATCGATAGTGATCGGGCACGTTGAAACAGAAGTGATGGTGAAATTCGTGAATCATGAACATAAATGAACAAAGAATCAAAGAAATACAAGTCCGTTAGTACTCAGACTATTTCAAATTGGTTGGAGACAGGTTGGAGTCAGGGACTGCTTCGGACTTCGCCGAAACGATCTGAACTTGTCTTGTGTCTCGACACTTGTCTTGCAGAGTCTTGCAGCTCGCCCAGCTCGCCTCTTGAATCACCAGGTCATCTTGTGGCCGTCTCATGGACTCCTGACAGAATGCGGACAGAATGCGGACAGAATGCGAAGGGAAGTCAACTAAGTTTTAATGGAATGTTTTCTTGAACATTTCAATGTTTTCTTTTTGTGATTCAGGTCCTATAGGATGGTTCCCCTTCTCTCCTTCTACCTATTCTACCTCTCTCCATGGGGGCTTTCTTTTTCTGAGTTTGATACCTCCACGTTGTCAAAGTTGCCGAGTTACCATCAGTGACTGATCAATTAGAGTCTCGACGGCACGGCTTCAAGTCCTGCGTCTCAAAGTTGTAGTAGTATTTCACTCCGCGAAGATCATAAAAAGCATGCCTGACGACATCACGACATCTGACAACACTGACCTGCGGAAGGGAACCAACGTAGTCGGAAACCACTTTTGGATGCCCAAGCTCAGTCTGACTAACCTGTTCTGAACCTGGCATGGTATGAGGGATTCTATGTATTGCTTCAGGGTGTGGAGCTTTCCAATAGAGAGATTCACCGCACATTGATTTCTGTGTCAGCATCAACTCAAAAAATGGCATCAACAGAAAATCCTTAGGTCAAAAACAATTCCAAAGTCACTTTGACCTTCCACTTGCAGACCCCCTTTCCACTCATTTTCAAACACCAGCACTTCCTCTGAGATGTCCCGACCATTTCTCTCCTAGGGTGGTCTCCAGCGGTGCAGGTTTGGAGAAGGTCTCCTTTGCCTCGCCCAAAGTGCTCCAAGTTCCGATTCTTTCATATGGCACTTTGAGCACATATTGTTTCCCACATGTCTGTCGTCCCCTCCGGCTCACCTCTGGGTCTATGATGGTCAAAGGTGATTCAAGCTGCTTTCCTGGCCAAGCCATTTCATCTTGATCGAAATTGGCTTCAAACTTTCTAGCAATCCAGCTAGAATCCAGCTTCATATCTACCATTGCCTACTGGTACATTCCCCTCTTTTAGTTTTCCAGTGAAAATTTGAGCCCGGAATAATTTCCGTTTTTTTTTCCCGATTCTTTCCCATGCAAGGAAGTATGCAAGAATACATTGATGCATCCGTCAAAGGTTTCGATGGTCTCGCAGCCATGCACAGGAAAGAGACTCGGCACATGTCATGGTCCAACATGATCCAACACCGTCCAACGCTCGGATTCTGTTCTATGGATTTCTATGGCATGTCCATTGATTCGCCTTCTTTTCTTGCTTTTTCTTCTCGTTCCAACTTGGCTGAACGCTTGTAATCGATCCTGAGACGGAAGCTGCTGCAACTCCATTTTGGGAAGTCGTCAGCACCACTATCCAGGTTGTGAGAAGATCGTGAGATATTAAAACATATTAAAACAACGAGCAATTCACCGAAACCAACACAGTTCTTGCCCTGAACTTCTGCACCGCTTAGAATGCTCTGCTGTCCCGAAACTGCCAATTCCTGACTACCCAATCTGAGATTCGGGACTTCAAAGGTTTCAAATCCAAGAACTTCGGCAGTGTCTTGGCCTAGGCTGAGGGTTGCTGCCAAAATATCGTGGAGATTTGAGATCTTGCTATGGGCACTTCGCGGAAAGCCATGTACTGATGGTGAATGAACAGCGCTTCATAACAAGCGGGCAACCTACACGCATGGTGGATGAAGGCAAAAAATCCAGCACTAAGCCAGTGGAATCAGAGTAAAGCCCTGCAACACTGTATTTGGGTCTCCGAACATGTTTCCTGTGGTAGCAATCGCTACAATACTTCCCCCTGGTGTAGGTGCACTGAAGCTTTGCAGGCATCACCTGGTGGCGATCGGAACGATTTAGTCTGGACCAATCCGTTGCGTGTCGTTGCTGTGACCGGACCCCTGACCCAGCTGGCCCAGCTGGGCTTGATTTCGACATATTTCGACCTTGCACATCACGCACAGGATGAAGTGATTGGGCTCGTGGGTCGCACCTTGGTAGAGCAAGATTCTGGGAATCCAATGGGAATCCAATGCAAATCCAATCTAAACCAAGATGACGATTCGATGACGATTCGATGACGATTCAGGGCTGAACACTTTTCTCACTTATCAAAGAAGCAGAGCTTTTTGTCAAGCCAATCACGAGAAGTTGGTGATAAGCATCTCCAATTCTATTAGGGTAAGGAATTCTTCGTGAATGCTGCGGATGCTCTAGCTGCTGGTGCTGCAAGACACTCCAATTATAGTCTAGCAGCTAGCATAATATTGGATTTCAAATTCTCAAGACTTGACCAAACCCGGTACTTGAAGCGACTTGGGCGTTCCATGCTTCCAGCAAACCTGCCAGCGCCCGCTTAGCTTCAGACGGTGCCCCTTGGCATGCAGTTTTTCGAAGCAATTCAGACCTCATGCGCCGGGCCTGGTGATTCACTCGAGGATGTCTGTCTCAACAACTTTGAAGTTACAAAGTACCAGAATCACGGCGACGAATTAAAACATGGTTCTATGGTTCTTTTAACAGATTTCACATTTGTTGGGCAGTGGTTTTACGTCTGACAAGTCTGCTGAGTGCATGAAGGAAACATGTTAAACTGTACATTCAGTATTCAGATGTGACTCACTGAGCTCCAGTCAATCGATTCAATCGTTCGAAATTGGGAACGTTTGAGATATTTGAGGAGTGTGGACTGATGTGACTGGTCACATTCTGGGATCTCTGACAAAGGCTGTCTCCACATTCGGGGCCTCAGTGGCGTAGCCAGGGCGCCAGGAGCTCAGTATGCTCGGTACACCGTGAAATCGGAGCCAATCTTTGCCAATTCGCAGAACTTCAGAATAGCATCCAGAATAGCATCGAATAGCTAAAACCCAATGAAAACGAATAGCTAAAACATGCTAAACCGATTTCCCTCCACAAAAAACTTCTTCAACTTTCGTAGGGCAACTCCCAGAACTGCGATTCAGGTGGAAACAGCGGTTCAATCTTCAAAGTTAGCCAAGGTGCAATACAAATGGGCCACATTTGCTTCGGTGTGAAGGCACTCTACACAGTACCTCCCGAGAAAATAACATGCTCGGCAACGTGTTGCAAAGACGTGCATCGCTCCACTGTTCTCAAATGAACGTCTTAGTATGTCTTAGTCATTTCCTCGTGGCAATTGGCCCAAAGAACAGATAGGGGCAGACATGCGTAGAGGGCCTTGGTGTGAACCATCCAGAAAAAATCCGTAACTTTTTCAATAGACTTGAATGCATAGAATTGAATAGATATTTACCTGGCTCGGTCTGATTTTGCAAACCCAAACTGGGAATTCCTTCAGGAGGCTGGCAAATAGAATTGTGGCTGTTTCCTGTCAAGTGGTGCCCTCTTTTGATCGTTTTGTCGCAAGCTGTGGGTGCAACCCGGCGGTGAACTGTACGTCGACCGTTGCATAACGCTGCATGCTGGCTGTTAACAATGGGCTTCGCCCACGGCGACTGAGGATCACTGATAGTTCAAGAGGGACGTCGTGAAATTCATATTGCATCATATTTCTTTGATTTTTGTGACCATGCCATCCTTTCTTGGATCTGCTATGCAAATACAACAAGGATAGGATTTTCCACAGAACAATATAGAACCATGCTGACCATTCTTATTTCAATCTGCCCTTGGGCTTAGAAGTTTTCTCGCGCAAACCACGTTAAGGCCGGCAGTGTCCTCAACCGACCAAGCTCTGTCATTATCAGCCCAAGGCATATCCATTGGATGTGGCCGGGACAAGCCTTGGTGCAGAGAACACGAAGTGGAGCAAAGGACATCAAAAGAGGACAAGATTCATAAGTTACTCATAATGTATTTAATATTAACTCATAATGTATTTAATATTATTTAATTCAGTATTCATGAGATACTCATAAGACTGGAAGATCGCCTGGGAAGGCAAAAGTCCAGAAATGAGAACAGTGAGGCTAAGATCTGATTCCTAATAGATCATCAGGATTTTGACCCTCACTGCATTGAACCCAAATCCATCTCGACTGTTTCCAAACCGCTACAGGTCCCGAAGAAGAAACATTCAGTGGCTGAACGAACATAGCGAACATGCATCCAGCCCCAGGCACAAACGCCTTTTTTTCTTGGGATGGCCACTGCTTGTCAGTTGAATCAGCCACTGCTCACTGGCTCACACACGGCGCATACTCAACACGCGGTTCTTGTCCCAAATCATGTATTCACCTCGTTTGCCATTCAAACGATTGGTGGCTTCACGCCAAAAATGCCTAGCCTTCAGAAGTCATTCTTCCAGATTACGTGACATACATGACATCACATGACATACGTATTAGGTACTTGACATATTTGACATATTTGACATATTTGACATATTTGACATATTTGACATATGAAAATTTTAGAAAATGAAATGCTGGCCTGGTCACCTCCATCGCCTGGGTTGAAGAGGATCGAGTCATATCCTTCATTTTGCCAATGACCACCGTGAAAACCTCGGTCCAAGCACTGAATGGTCTGCTTCAGCGGCTTGGCCCAACAGCTCACCGATGTGGTGCAGGTGAAGCCCTTGGTGTGGACTCGGCCCAGATCTACTCGGGCCTGTGCAGTTTGATGCATAACGAGGCTGCAACACAGCAACACACGGTGACATCATCTATCTTCATATCTTCATCTATCTTCATCTGCAACGCATGGAGACATATGGTGACTCACTCTGACTTCCAGACTTCCATCATCGTTGCTGATTGGGTTGAGATTTCTCATTTCTGCTTAACAAGCTGGGCAAATTAATTCCAAACGGGTGATACAGTGACATCATTCATGCTAGCGGGAGTGGTGAGTTCGAGCCTGGTCCATTTTTGTGGAAAGAACTCAAAAGTGAAACTACACATTGCACTGTATATCACTGTACATTTCTATATTTGTTTCTTCATGTTTCCAAATATCACCTTATCACCTGGCCTCAATGATGAATCCATGGTTGGAGTCGACGCCCACGGCTTTTCCGTAGGTGGCCTCAAGGTTTTTGCAAAAGGCACAGAGTTTCCAGCACGGTCATTCAAACATGATTTACACACATATATATATATACATATGATTACATATGTATGATTCAATCTGCAAATCCTCATGTATCCTCATGTACTTTTTAGTTCTTTTTTTCTTAGTTCTTCTGGCTTGTCCATGGCGATTGATTCGGACATGGAACACTGATGCTTTTCAGCCTCAAATATCCTCAATGCATACTGTACCCCAGAAAAAGGCCGTTGCAAAAAAAAACATTGCTTTCACGATGTGGACTGCCATGAGGTTCTTCATTGGTGTAAGGCGGTATGGATTCATGAAGGGATCTACCCGTATGCAGTCTGCCGAGACGTGTTCTGACAAAAAGATGTGATCCACAGACTCTCTAAGGATCAAAAATGAAGGGAAAGAGTTGCGATGATCCTTTTGATTTCTTTTCATCATGCATTGATGCTGTGCCTGTGGGCTCAAGGCAAAGTAGATTCCGCCGCCGCAAAAGCCAATGTGGCCGCGGCGGAAGCCTGAGCACTGAGAGGCACTGAGCGGTGCCGGTAGCTTGGGTCAAGGCTTGGGTCATTTTGGAACTGATCGGCACCTCGAAGCCCGCAGTCATGACACCGTGCACCTAACACCTGGCATCACCTGGCATCGCCTGGCATCGCCTTGCCAGGTCTTTGACGACAAGGATTCGCCACTGGATCCTGTTGCTGTTGCTTTTGCCTTGTATGACATTCTGGAAAGTAGACACATAAGTTCTGCCACCCCAAATCTGGTCAGAACAGTGGCAACAAATCCATAAGGCAAAAAAGAAGACATCTTGGTGCAAACATTAGGCACAACTTGAACCTCTGCGCAGTGGTGCCCGTTATGCCATTCTCAAAATTTCCCATCATTTCCCATCTCTT